CACTTTTTCTAATGGCCACTGACGAGGGATAGAATAATAGATTGCCAACAATCTAGATACCTCTTATCCTATCGAGGGATAAACATGGACCCTACTTTGTCTAGGAGAGGGAGAGAAGATTTAGGCCATTTGTTTATAAGGTGTTGCATATATAGCTTCACATGCATGGTCTCTTAACTCTTTTGGTAGAAACCTGCCTAAAACCAAGTGGTGGATATGTACTGAGATGACTACAAAAATGTTACCGAAAAGGGAAGAAAACTGGACCCTAGAAAAAATTGCATATCTTGTGGAAATTTAGAATTTGAAGAATTATGTGATTTTCAAAGAAATTGGCACACCACGCATATGGTGAAATACATTTCGATCAGGGCAAAACTCGTTCAAACAGCCTTTACAGTCTTGCATTGAGGATATATATGTATTTTTTATGCTTTATTTCATTTCATGGGAGATATTCCTAAAAAAGATGATTGAAATTGTGTGAGCACGGGCTTGCCCACAACATTTATACCAGGAGGCAGTTGATGAGGTATATAAGTGAGTTGGGGTCACAAAAGAGAAATAGAATCAAGTTAAGTCACATTAATTGTATGGGAGCTTCCCCACTTCCCTAGAAAAAGTTTAATGCATCAGTAAAACTAAAGGGTGGCTTGACTGCTGCTTTGATGCATAGTGAGAAACAGGGGCAGAACAGCAGAGAACTAGAATAGGGCAAGATAGCTGGGTTCTTCAGCAACCACAATTATTTGGAGCATGGAAGGTAATGGAAGCCATTCTATTTTAAAGAGAAGCTGGAAGTACATTTTATGTGGCCATTTGAGAGGGATTTCATGTACATGAGCTGAGAAACTCGAAAAGTCATTAACCATGGTTTTCAAAACCAGACCGGATCGGACGGTCGGACTAGAAAAACTGGGAACCAGTCAGGTGACCGGTTTCGTTTTTCCCCGAAACTGGGATTTCTCAAAAAACTGTTGATTTTGGTCAGTAAACCGCTGACCCGGGTGATTAATCGTTCGAACTGTTTTGACCGTTTTTTATTTTTTTGTTAGAACAGCCCAACCGTTTGGTTCGAATGGTCAGACCGTTCGACCCGGTAACTGGACCCCTGACCAGTTCGGTCTCCGAGTCGGTTTTAAAAACCATGTCATTAATCAATATTTGATCAAAAACCAAAAAGCTGAAACTAGACTTACATGAATCAGAAAATGGACTTTCAGGTAAAGCTATCTTATGTAGCTTCTCTGAAATGGCTCAATCAATGCAGCTCAATTCAGAAGCCCTCAATGTGAATTCATCAATTGCTCCAAATGGGGATAATGGGATGGTAGAGACTCCATGGAATTCCATGTAAGTTTTGGTAAGGATACATGCATGCATCAGGACACTATATTAATTGTAAGTTTATGAATTAAGGGTGTTATAAAATATATAGAAAATCAATATACGTAGCTTCAGACTTCTCAGCAAGCCTGGGTGTCTCTAAGGGTGTCAATGGACTGGTTTTGGATTGGATCCGTCCAGTCCAAAATCAATTTGGATAGATTGGACGAACCAACAAAACATTGGATTGGACCAATCCAGTCCAAAAAAGTTTATTAGATTGGATTGGACCTGGTCCGTCCGTAATAAATTTATATTGGATTGGGTTGGATTAAGCCAATATCTAATCCATTGATATAAGATAAGAATATAGGTGTCAATAGACCAGGTTTGGGTTGAAACCAATCTAAATCAAAACAAATTTGAACAGATTGGATGGTCCAGACATTGAATTGGACCGATCCAAAATGGTCCAAAATATTCATTGGACTGAATTGGACCTGGTCCATTTATAATGGACTCACATTGGACTGGATATCGGATTGGACCAAATCCAGTCCAATTGACACCCCTAGGTGTCTCCACAACAGTTCCTATATACATGCATCATGGAGTAGTGAGTGGACGCCACCTGATCCACCAAAGTTTATATTTGAAATATTGTTCGATCGGATCAAGCTTGCAGTCTATGCTAACTCTTTCCTTTCTTAGTAACCAAAGAATATAGCTAACCAAGTTGGTGATTAAGGGGGTCTTTGGAAATGTGGTTCTTCAAGTTGTGATGTATTCAAATATACTAGGCCCCACCGCCCCACTGTGGTGTGATCATTGTTTTAAAAGACTTAAGCCTTTTGGTTTGAGGCATACGCTTTGAGGCGAGGCACACAGATTTTGCCTCAAAAACTGTGTGGCTTAAGCCTTTGCCAGAATGGGTCGTAAGCCTCAAGCCTTTAAGGCATGAGGTGTAAAAAGGTGTGGCACTCAAGTGTCAATGATTACTTAATAATTTAATGCAAAATATATATATTTTTATAATTTAAAACATATAACAAAACACACTTCAATAATTATATGCCAAACAAAAAAGTAAAAAAGAAAAACGAATAAGACAAATCAAATTCTATTACTATTTCTTAATGTTTTAAGAGAGTTCAATGCAAGAAAGACTAATCATGTTTTTAGTTCCTTTTGGATAATTCTAGTGAGATTTTTCTTATTATTCTAAATGTAATGTCCCAAATTTGTTATTTTTCTCATTTTTTCTACTAGTGGATATTTTTTTAATAATAATAATAGATCAAATCAACTAAGTTGTTTCCTTTCTTTTAAAGTGGTTTTTCTACATGAAATGTAAAATGTTTATAATTGTTAGTTGATTAGTAATTATTTTATTTAATGCTTAAATGCCGAAACTTATTATTTATAGATATGTGTACTTTCTCTCATTTTAATTTGACATATTATATGTTATTTTCATCAATTTACAAATTTTAATTAATTTTTTGGGAAAATTCCCAATAGGTACTTTGTAATTTAGGCCAAGTGCCAATTTAGTACCCGAAATTTAAAATGCGACAATCTAGTATCCAAACTTTCATTTTGGGACAACCTAATACTTACCGTTAACAGACTGTCAGTTATGTATATTACGTGACCTCATATGCAATTTAAGACATTTGAAAATGTCAGAATTACCCTTGAAAATAAAATACACTGTTCATCATCTTCTTTCTCAAAAAAAATGAAATAGAGCCCAAGCCAAGCTCTCAACAGTCCAGGGTTCGCCGCTGGCCGCCACCATGGCCAATGGGAGGGTTGGTGTTCTCAGTTCGCCACTGTAGCTGCCACCATGGTCAACACTTGACGCTCCTAATCAAGAGAGAGAAAGAGAATGAAACAATGTCTTGAATCCTGAGAATTTGGAGATGAGGCAGAAGAGAATGCAAACGAGGAAGAAGATGGAGGTCTACTGCATTGGCCTTGAGAATCTGGATCTGAAATCGTCTTAAGCTTCGTCCAAGCATGTTGTGTGTGGATCTAAGGTGGAAGAGAATGCAGACCATGAAATCGTCTTGAATCCTGAGAATCTGGATCTGGCATGCAACCTCTGAGACGTCCACCCAAGCAAGCCGTGCGTGGTCTTGGCTTTGCTGCACTAGCCAACCTCTATTCACACTCCACCACCTTTCTTCCAACTTCTCTACAGCAACCGGAGTCACCGCCGGCATGCGACCTCTGAAATGTCCGCCAAACATGCCGTGCGTGGTGTTGACTTTGTTGCATCAACCAACCTCTATTCCCACTCCACTGCCTTCCTTCCAACTTCTCTACAGCAATCAGAGTCACCATCGACATGCAACCTCTGAAATGTCGGTGGATGCTCCCCAAACGAGGAGAACATACTCATCGGAATGCCAATAACCATCACATACGCACCTGAACCTGGGATGTAAGTTACATGACTTAGACCAATGATCGGTGCAGGTTTCTCACGACATACAACTAGAATGGAACTATAATCTGGGCCGACCCACCTCACTACCACATTCACATATCCTTCCCCTCTTGATCCGTCTCTATCCCACACATGGTAGTTGATCTCTACATTTAATTTCTTTTTTATACTTTTTTAAATTTCAAAAATTTATGAAAATCTAATGGAGCAAGTACGCCTTTTAATTTTATTGCACAAGTGAACTGGGGCATCCAAGCGAAAACATGCAGTAGGTATGTTATGGGCCCGTGCATAGGATCGCGTCATGGGTCGTTCCACGGCAGGAACCGCTAATCTTCCCTTGCCTTTGGCCTTGTGCACATACCCTATTTTGACTATCTAGTGGGTGATTTTTCTAAGAGACCACCCAAACTCTCCTCACTCTTTTCTTGACTAGAAAACTCAATGCTTTACTTCAATTCGTAGCTCCTTGAATAGGAGATTACAGAAGGAATTTCCTTGTTGGATTCCGCCAGGCTAGGGTAATCCAACTTAAACTAAAACTCCTAATTACCTACTCCTAATGATAACACAACTCTTACTTAAGAAGATAAAATAAGACAAGGATAAGGGATAAGATAAGATAAGGGATAAGGTAAGCTGGCGGCGAGTTGGCTTGACGTGTCCAGATAAGGGTGGGCCCACCCCTATGARCTGTCATGTGGGCCCCGCTCTGTTGCTGCTGCTGGGTGCGTGTGGGCGGCTCATGGTGCCGTTGCCGTGCAGTGCCGAGCGTGTGCGCGGTGCGTGCTGCACGCTGCCGGGCGGTGCATGCTGCGTGCGGCCAGGCTATGCGTGCAGCGTGGTGTCGGGCGGTACGTGCTACGCGCTGCCGGGCGGTGCGTGCTGCACGCTGCCGGGCGGTGCATGCTGCGTGCGGCCAGGCTATGCGTGCAGCGTGGTGTCGGGCGGTACGTGCTACGCGCTGCCGGGCGGTGCATGCTGCGTGCTACCAGGTGGTGCATGCCACGCGCTGTCGGGCGGTCCGTGCTGCTATGCGGCGCCGCTGGGTGGTGCCTGCTGCTGTGCGGCCTATTGTGCATGCCGTTGCCCATGCCCGCGCCGTAGTGGGCTGCCGGGTTGGTGTGTCCATAACATCACACCCCTCCCGGACCACGAGCTTGTCCTCAAGCTCGAATTCCATATACGTGGCTTGGGACTCCGCCAATGGATCCAACGGCTACACACTATCTCTCAATCCACCAACAGTATGAACAACAGGGACTGCCCCATAGCTCAGTGCATAAAGCTGGATTATTTGACGCAGACCCCAGCCCCCTTCTTTAGTTTCTAGCTCCTTGGCGTAACCATAGCTTACAGTGACTACACGATCTGCTGAACTCAAGCCAGCCACAAGGACATTGAAGTATTCCCCACCTCCTGGGTCATATAGTTTGAAGTAGTTTTGTGGAAGATCCACACAACAAAAATCGCGTATTGGACCACGGCCCCGGTGTCCTATGTTGTGGATCACAGGAACACATCGGGTATGCTTACAGAAGAGAACCTTAAGAGCTGCCTTACCGAAGAGAACCATGCGTTTTAAAATATCCTCTCGGCCTCCCCCATATATATTTTCCTCAATATTGCGAAACATAGGGCTGTCCGTGAACACAAAATGCATGCCATCAATATAAGCTTGGAAGAAAGTTACCTCCATATCCTACCCATCCGCCTTACGTCTCCTGCGCACTCCTGTTTCTTGGATTTCTGCATAGTTACCATACTGTGGTGCTGCAACCATAATTCTATGTCCACGCCGAGCCAAGGCCTTCGGTAAAGCCCCAGCAGCATCGCCAAGTCCACTTGTCTTCGACAAAGGAACGCATTTTGTAGGTACCAATATACTGTCCGTGACATTGTCCCCGGCCAAAGGAGGAGACTTTACCGTTTCATCCTCCATGCGCTAATCCTTGGGAAAAACTGCGGCTATAGGGGCAACGATCTGTTGTTCGCTGGATGCCTCTGCCCAGTTTAGACGACGACTGTTTGTGTTGGCAATTCCCTCATTACTCCCTTCTTTGTTGGAGAGGAATGCTTCCAACAGGCATCGCATCTCCCAGACATCTTCCCTGACTTCACGAACCTCCATGCTGGTTTCTGCTAGCCTATGTTCTAGTTCATTGACCTTGAATGATAGCTGCTCCATATCGCCCGTGACGTTTGGCTCTGATACCAAAATGTTATGAGCCCGTGCGTAGAATCGCGTCACGGATCGTTCCACGGCAAGAACCCCTGATCTTCCCTTGCCTTTGGCCTTGCGCTTGCCTTTGGCCTTACGCACAGACCCTATTTTGACTATCTAGTGGGTGATTTTTCCAAGAGACCACCCGAACTCTCCTCACTCTTTTCTTAACTGGAAAACTCAATGCTTTACTTCAATTCGTAGCTCCTTAAATAGGAGATTACAGAAGGAAATTCCTTGTTGGATTCCGCCAGGCTAGGGTAATCCAACTTAAACTAAAACTCCTAATTACCTACTCCTAATGATAACACAACTCTTACTTAAGAAGATAAAATAAGACAAGGATAAGGGATAAGATAAGATAAGGGATAAGGATAAGATAGGGATAAGGTAAGCTGGCGGCAAGTTGGCTTGACGTGTCCAGATAAGGGTGGGCCCACCCCGATGAGCTGTCGTGTGGGCCCCGCTCTGTTGCTGCTGCTGGGTGCGTGCATGGCTCATGGTGCCGCTGCTGTACGGTGTCGAGCGTGTGCGCGGTGCGTGCTGCGTGCGGCTAGGCGGTGCGTGCAGCGCGGTGTCAAGTAGAACGTGCTGCGCGCTGCCGGGCGGTGCGTGCTGCACGCTGTCGGGCGGTCTGTGCTGCTGTGTGGCGCCGCCGGGCGGTGCCTGCTGCTATGCGGCCTGCTGTGCGTGCCGTTGCCCATGCCCGCACCGTAGTGCGCTGCCGGGTTGGTGTGTCCATAACAAGGTACTAGATTGTCGCATTTTAGAAGTTCGGGTACCAGATTGTCACGTTTTGAAGTTTGGGTACTAAATTGGCACTCGGCCTAAAGTACAGGGTAACTATCAAGAATTTTCCATAATTTTTTTCTTAAACATTGAGGCTTATGCCTCACCTTTTGGGCCATTATGCTTCAACTACACCTTTAGACTTTTAAAACCTTGGATGCTACCCAAAAACTATACGGGTTTGAATCATACCATATTATATATAGTATTTTTCTAGGGTCATTGTTTTATAACACCCTGTATAGTTCTATAGATTTGCTTAAATCTACCCTATAGTTTTTATTTTATTAAAACACCCATCTACAATCTATTACTTAATTGACCTTTCACTAAGAAGTGTTTGTTTCTCCATCTAAAAACAATCACATTATCACTTAAATTGAGTGGAAAATGTTGGGGGGCATGGACCTAGATTGTTTATTCCAAAAGTACTCCTAACACTTTTTTGTATAAAAAAGAAAATTGACCAAATAAAGCCAAATAGAGTGGTTACTCATGTCTTACTAAGGGTAAAAATGATATTTTCATTTTCATTTTATTTTAATTAAATTTATTCAATTGGACAATAGGGTAAAACTGTCATTTCCACTATCATCTAGTGGAAGGCTGATTGCAAACTATACGAGGTGTTTTAGTAAAACACAAATTAAAGTATAGGATAGGTTTAGGCGGTGTTTGGCATCGATGCCATTTTCTGAGAAAACAACGCCATGTAGGTGCCACATCAAAAAAAGTGGTGCTTCAGAAAACAACCTCTTATTTGGTACCGTTTTTCCATAAAAAAATGTTGTTTCAGACCATGCCTTGGGAATAAGAAAAGTGGAGTATGAAGAAACACCAAATTCTATGTTTTCTCAAAAAACAACCCATTGCTCCAACAATGCAATGATGTAGCATCACCTTGGACCTTGGATAATATGACCAATGCTGAAAATAGTTCTACAGCATTGGTACCAAACAAAACTAGTGCTGTTTTCCCAGAAAACAGCCTATATGGCAGCATCGCTTCCAAACAAAAAATAAGAGAAAACGGTGCTTACAACCCAGACATGCCCAACACCATATTTATAAGAAAATGGTGTTGTGTTCCCAATACTGATGCCAAACACCTACTTAGTAAATCCATGAAATTATAAGGGGTGTTTTAGTAAATGACCCATTTTTTTATAACTTGGTGTGTATTTGTTGTTGTTATTGAAACATGCCACACTGTGGAATGCCCTCTAATACTTCAAACCTAATCAACTCAATTTTTCAATAGAATACTGCATTTGTAAGAGGGTGAACTCCATACCCCCTCTAGTTTGGGTTTTTTTCCACTTGTTTATCGCATAAACTACTCTATTAGCATAGCATGCCCATATGTTTGGGGTGTTAGGTAATATGGTTCTTCGAGTTGCGATGTATTCAAATATACAAGGCCCCACTGTGGTGTGATTGAAACCAAGGTTCAAAATTTTGTTATGTATTGGCCCATATCGACCGATACGTATCGTATCGAAGCCTTCCCGATATGCCCCTACAGGGGGGGTTTCAAGTTGACAAGTGGTTCAGAGGATAGATCAGCCTTAAACCAGCCCCTCTGAACCAATTTCGAAAAAGAAAAATAAAAAACACTTAAAAACAATACCGATACAGGCTGATATGACCTACTGGCGTATTGCCCCATATGAAAATTTTGAACCTTGCTTGGAACTATATAGTTTGTACCACACCACATATACTCTATATGGTGCTTTTCTATAACTTGGTATAAATGTGCTATGGAAAGTTTGAAACATGTCACACCTATCGAATACCCCTAATACCTCAAACCTAATTGATCCAATTTTGCAATGAAATATTGCATTTGACCCTAACACAGGTTGATCAATTATGGTTTAAATCTAACCAACTTGATTTTGGAGGAGGGTAAGCTACAAATTCCCCCTTCTAGTTTGGAGATCTTTCACCCATTTACCGTATAAACTAGGGGCGAGCATTCAGTTTGTTCGATTCAAAATCAAATCAAATAAATCAAAATTTAAATAACCAACTTTATTAAAATGAAAATCAAACTGAAATCAAATTTTGGCAAAATAGAAATAGTTTAACCAAAATTATTATTCGGTTATTTTGGTTAAAAAAATTCTCATTTAGACTTAAATATTATTCAATATAATAATATTATTATATATATATATATTACACGTGACACATTTATATTATTATATATATTCCACATTTAAAAGTTTGTTTTTTAACGGTTAACTAAACTTTTAAATGAGATAACTGAAACCAAACTGATGACCAAAAAATGAATAAAAAAACTGAAAACGAAATTTCAGTTTCAGTTTTGGGTGGCCTGTAAACATGCCTTGGAAATTGTGTTGTTGCCAAACACTAGCAAAACTGAGCCAGAGTGCATATATATGGAGTACCCTTTGCAATAAATAGAATTAATAACATGTATCGTTAGAGGTGAGCATTATTTGGTTAAAACCGAAAAACCTAACAAAAAAATTTAGTTTCGGCTTTTTTAGTTTTTGGTTATTTCAATTTGTTTTTTTTTTTTTTGGTTTTATAAAATTTCGTATTTGGTTTTGGTTTTCAGGTTTGGGAGTTCAGTTAACCAAAAAGAACTGAATTAATTAACTGAACTTTATTATTTATATAAAATATATATTAACATATAACTCATATATTTTATGTATAATATATATTATATATTGAAATAAATAATTTATTAAAATATATTATATAAATAATTTCAGTTTTAACTGAAATAACCAAAAACTGAATTAAAAATTTAAGTTCCAATTATTTCGGTTTTAGTTTGATTTTCCACTTAAAATTTTAATTTTAAAAAATTTTGATTCAATTCGGTTTTTAATGGAATAAACCGTTTGCTCACCCTGTTAATTCAACTGCTTCTTGTGGAGTGAGAATACTCCACTTGAAAATGAAGTAACTCATGTGTTTCCATAATGTTATATATGACAAATCCTTATTTCACGTGAAAGAGATACTTGCAAGCAAAGCTTGAGAAGCCCCACAGTTAAAGTGGCAGGATTCCATCTACTGACATACACCATAGTTATCCTTTTAAGGGGCCGGCTTTTATGCTATTCATTCCAATTATGTGAGTTTTCTTTCTCAGGTCGAGTTATATGTAAATATGGGTGGCTTTTCTTTAGTAGTTAGGGTAGTGACCTAGTAATTCTAGCTCTTACTTATTTTAATAGTATCTCGAAAGGGCAGGACCCTCCAGGAATCCAGGGGCCCAATATGAAATTAAAACCATAGAAATCGTATACAATTCCTTATTAATTATATTTAACCACTTGCTAGCAGTAATCCAATCCTATGAGTTGTTATGGATTGTGATGAGATTTATTGAGATCTAGAGAGTGGGTGAAGGGGGGAGGTATTGTGTTAGTTCCGACAAACTATTCATTGGTTACAAACTGCTCATGAAAATTTAAGGAGGCATTTAGCAATTCTTTTTAAGATCTTCCAAAAGCTTAAGACGTTAAAAGATTGATGTGCTTTCACAAGTAAATCTTCAAAGACTAAAGATCGTTTGGCTGCAATTTTTTAAAGATTTTTTCAAAAGCTAGAAAGACCGTTGAGAAAAATACTTGCTGGTCCCTCTTACATACATGTTAAATGTTATGTCCAGGACCCAATAATACATTCAAACATGCAAATATTACTTGTGGGCCCTACAATTTCAACTAAAGATTACCTCATTTCCTCTCCATCTCATGAAGATATCATTTTAAAGCTTAAGATGAACCAAATCACTGTCCAAATTTATCTAATCCAAGCCTAGTTGCATCAATTTGATCCCACAAATCGGTCCAAAATGCTCAAAAACCCCACCTTGACAAATTTCAACCAAAGATTCCCTCATTTCCCTTTTATCGCACCAAAATTCTGTTTCAAAGTTCTGGATTGGCCGACCACTCCCCTTTTCAGATCTGCCTGATCCAGGCCGAGTTGGGCCAATTTGACCACATCGATCGATTTAGAATGCCCGAAAACCCCATCCTACCAAATTTCAATGAAAATACCCCTGATTACCCATTATAATATAATACTAGTTTATTGATTTATTAAATTATTACTAAATTAGTATAATACTAGTTTATAAAATTACACCAAAAATATGACATTTTATGTGTAGATCGGGCTTCGGACTTTATATAAGAGCTGGGCTCGGGCTCAAGATCTAGGCTCGATGGTCGGTTCAAGCTCATGCTTGGCCCTTGACTTTATCTATTGATAAAGATGCAAAGCCCGACCTAAATCCGCCCCGACCCGGCCTTTGAACAAGTTTAAACTCCACTGTTGGATTAAAAACTCAATTTGACCCAATTTTACTAAAATTACAAAATACCCCTAAACTTTCCTAAAATTACCAATGCCCTTATCCTACATATAAATATAACCTAAGTTTTTTCCATTCAACTAATCTACTATGCATCTTCCCATCCCTCTCGACACACAGTGGCGGAATGGTGTGCTCCCGATCTCTCCTCTCCATTTTTTCTCTTTTATTTTTTTTTTCTCTCCCTCTCTTTTCTCGATCTCCACCTTCCTTTCCCTCTTTCATGGAGTATAGGACTAATGACCCGAAATGCCCTGTTCGTCTTCTTTACAGCAGCGACGGGCAGAGTTTTGACAACGTAGCAATAGTGACTCCATCCAAGCTCTCTCATCCTTTGATTATGACTCTCTCTCTTCCTTTCTTTCCCCTTCTTTTTATTTTCTTTTATTCTTCTTTTTTTACCGATTTCCACCATCTCTATTTTTTCCCGACTGTCGCTCCAAATCACAGCAGCAGCGATTTATCCACTCCATTCCATTATTTCATTCTCTCTCCTATTATCTCTGTTATTTCTCTCTCTCTCTCTTTTTATCAGCTTTATCTTCTCTCCTTCTACGCCACCCACAGCTCTCACCGTTGTAACTCGACGCTGTGTCGAGTTTGAATCCAACCACCTGAACACAATAAATAACGATAAGATGAAAAATGAGAAGAACACGATTAAAAACCTGAACACAGTGAATAACGAGCCTCGATTAGTATTTGTGAGAAGAGGAAGAAGAACAAGAACAAGAAGAAAACGAGAAGAACATACCTTGGGGCAAAGAGTTTCTCTCGAATTTTTGTCAAAAGCATCGGAAAGCCGAGAAGCACGCATAGACCATAATCTTGGCTCGAGGCTTCTCAGATCCAGACCACTTGGGTCTTTTAGAGTCTTTTTTGGGATTTGCCTTTCGGTCTAACAGGCTTTCGTTAGCCAAAAAGAAAAAGACCATTTTGGTCTACCGGACTTCTAAAAGCCTAAAAGATCTTTGAAAAAGAATTGCCAAACAGGGCCTAAATCACTTGACAAAACAAACAATTAGAAATATTACAATAACAAAGCGAGCTAAGGAAGCCAATTAAGAGGAGAAGATGGTAAAAACATTGGTTTACTTTCTCTCCCCCCACTAACAAATAGTTCATTAATTATACTTACATTAAAACAAATATAAAGATATAAATGTTTTGATATCATCAATTCACAGACAGGGTCTGGATTAGTTAGTGTTGAGCTCTTCTCTAATCCATGATCCGTTGTTTCAGTTCAATCCGACAAAAATCATCGCTATTTCCCGTAGCCCCAGAAGTCCATCTCTCCACGGAGAGAGAGCTGGTTTATTTGATGTACTGACGACGGATTTGCATCCCCAAACCTCACACCTTTGGAAGAATCCTCCTGACCCAGATGAGAAGTTACAAGCCTGTCAAGCATGGCCCAGTCATTGAGTCCCTGTTGAGCTGGTTCACATGTTCCAACCTCTAACCCTCCTTCGCATGCCTGAGCTTGGTAATGTACTTGTCCGGCGAGACTCTCGCTTCCGCCGCTGTCACACTCCCTAGGGTTTGAGAGGAGGTTCTTGGCCGCCATGACCGGAGACTCAGACGGGAGAGGGGAGAAGTCGTAACCGACGGCCCTGTGGCTTCCGGGGAGAAGGGTTTGGGATTGCATGGTGGAGTAAGGAGGGACGGGAATGTGCGAGTAATGGAGGCCGAGCTCGGGCTTGTTGTAGAGGTCGAAGCTCTGACCATGCTCATGTTGTCGTCGTAGGTACTGCTGGGTGTCTCTCAGAGTAAGGGCCCGAGGTTGGTTGTTGCCCAATGTGTTGTTCAGTTGGTGCTCTGATCCCATGCTTGAGCCTCCTTCGTTTCCAACCTTGAACAAATTCTTCTTCTTGAACACACGGCAGACCACCCACCCGTCTTCCTGTAACACAGTCATCCATATATCTTAATTTCTTAATATATATATATATATATATATTAGGTATTTGAAAATTGAAATTATATATAATAGAACACATACACACAGAGTCTCACTTGATTATCTTAACCATTTATGAATTGGACTAGCTAGAAATTCCAACTCGACCACACCCAAAAAGACAAATTGGTTAATGGATAAAGTTTTGTAGAAGCTATTCGAGATTGGTTTGTGAAAAGCTCAATTTAATCTAAATTGAGCTTTGAGTCAAACTTGAATCTAATATACAGACTCACTTTAATCTAAATTGAGCTAATTGAACCAGGTTAAACCTAATAAAACTCGGCTTGTGAGGTTTGTGAGCCTAATGCTTATATATACATATACATATACATATACATACATACATATATACATATACACACACACACATATATGTATATATATATATATATATATATATATATATATATATTGTTTTTACTTTTTATGTGTATGATAATAAATAATTTTTATAATTCTTAAATATTTGTATGTAAAATACAAAATAATTTTTTATATGCATAATTTTTATTTTTTATAGGATGTTTGACTCACATTCGAGCTCGAGTTGAATTGAACTGAACTCAAACATATGATTTTGAGCTAAACCAAATTTGAGCTTGAATAGCTTATTATTTTTTCTTTTAGGTAAAATAATTAAGTAAAAATTTATTTATATATCATTATGAAGCTCACAACCAAGGTTTAAAATATCGATACGCCCAATACGCCGATAGGGGCGTATCGGACAATTTCGATAGTATTTCCATCCCTTTTTTTTATTTTTTTTTTCAAAATCGATTCAGGGAATCAATTTAAGGCTCTTCCACCCTTGAACCGGTCAGAACCCCATACACTCCTGTAAGGACATATCGGAAAGCCACTGGCATACGAATAAATACGTATCATACTTTGAACCTTACTCACAACCTCCTTTTAATAACTTAAATGCCATCCATAACATTTGGGTTTGGGTTGAGAAGAGAGCCAACCTGAGCAGGACCCAATTACTAATTGAATTGGGAAAAGTGAAAAAACGGGGTATATATATAACAGATGATCGAGCAGGAACATGGCTGAATGCCATGCATGGACAAATGCAATGAGCTGATATGAAGCTTTGACTAAAATACCATTTTGTAGCTTCAGCGTTACTAAACCTCCTAAAGGGTTGTTTTTAATATGTGGTGTGGGTTGACACAGTTGATTCACAGGTTAGTGTTTCACGTGTCACACGTGCAAGTCATGGCCCACCAGTCAAATGGTCAACAATTTGGGTCTCGTGTTACGTAACAGTCCAGGTGGCAATAATCCGATGGTTGTGATTGTCCAATCGGATTGACTTTTGGTGTATCTGATTCCTTAGATTAGATGGGATGTCCCTTTGGAATGATTGCTCTTCCAGTGGTTGCTCTTCTACGCTACGTATGCACCGTCCCGTGTGTTCTAGCTTTAGGTCCTCATTGTCTATTAACAGGATTTCCTCAGAGACAACCTGGCCTAATCTGAAACACAGGAGGAGAGAGAGAGAGAGGAGATCGTGGGGTTTTCTTACAGTGGAATTGCCTTGAACGTCATCGCTGTCTTCCAGGCGGTATTCATGCATGATCCAGTCGGATTTCTGGCCATGGGGAGCTCTTCCTCGGTAGAAGACGAGGGTCTTCCTCATGCCAATCTTCTTGTAGCTGTTCCTGATGCATTTGTCTCTGCCCGTTGCCTTCCAAAACCCAGCATTCGTCGCTCTGTTCGTCCTCGATCCTGTTGGATACTTCCTATCCTTGTGACTGAAGAAGTACCACTCATTCTGTGGAGTTGACCCTATTCTACACCTCTCTGTATATATGTACGTATATGGAAATGCAAGAAACAAAACCATTTAAACAAATAAGTATTCGATTGCAATCTGGAGTACTACAAAACATTCTTCATCAATATACAAATTAATGCTGTTAAGTACTTAATTTGAGTTACTCTTTCTGCTATCAGATATTTGCTTAGTTACGTTGTTCATTCTAATTAAAGTTGTAAATACCCTTCAGAAAAAGCACTTGTTGGGTAGTGCTATTTTGTTCTTGTTCTTGCTATCTTCTTCTTATATATATCCTCCGGTTCTGAAGATTGTAAACACCCCCACCTTAAACTTTTCTGATTAATTCAGAGAAACAAACCAGCCTGCTATCATCAAGTGTTGATAATGTATTTTTATGGGTAAGAGTGTAAAAGTTTCTACCATGATTAATACTAGTATCTTCATGAAGAGAATCCAATATTGTTCTTCTACCTAAGTTTTCCTGGCTAATATAAACTAGAGGAATAATTTCTTATATATATTAATTATCTTAAGCCACGTTTTAAGCCTTTTATTTTTTTTTCCTTTCTTCTTCTTTTTTCAGAAGAAAAGTAGAGCAAAATTTTTTAAAATAAAAGTATACAATCCATTAGTTTTTTTTTTCCTTTCTTCCTTTTTGTCTTTATTTAATCCAATATCAATATATAAAATTTAAATGAATTTTTTGATGGGCTAGAAAAGTATTTCTTAACATATATATGCATCTTTGAGAATAGAATTCAGTATATTTACATTAATATGCTTTCTATACATATATTTTAATTTTTGTGTTGCACAATATTCTATCATCAAAATATAAATTAAAAGAAAACAAAACTAACTACTTTTAATACAATTAAGTATGAATTGTTGGCTCGTATATTTAATTTTATCCATTTTCATAATTAATTATATTCATATTATAGTGAAGTGCATATATCCCATGAAATTAAATGCAATTTAAAAGTAGGGTTGCATTCTTAGATGGGATCAGGGAATCTTTTCCATCAGTAAATTGTTCGATATATAATTAAAAAAAAAGAAATTTGAATATTGATTTTTCTTTGAAGAATTAAGCTTGTGAAAGGAAGAATTAAGAAAATGTAGTAAACCAGTCTAGTCTACAATTTGACTTATGTCTTGGAAAATATAATCCAACTTACTGATTTGTCTGTTCTTTTATTGGAATTTACTCAAATTTCTATCTCTTCTACACTTGAAGGTTTTAGGCAAAAAGATATACACCACAACACCAAGATATTAAGGAACTGAAACACTTGGATGCATGAATTACACCTCATCTGGGTCCCTACATACATCTCTAGAAAATTAGAACTACCCTGTAATTTGGCCAATATTTTGGAAGAAAACACAAATTATCATGAAATAATTTACTCAAGGTCAAGTACCGTCTCTCTTTAGAATTACGAGGTTCAAGTAACAATTAAAGCATAACAATTCCAATTAATAAAAATACATGAAAAGCTTAAACTTTCACAGAAAAAAGAAAACCCAGAATGAATATTAGACTTATTGCTTGAACTACTTTGAGATCGATGAATGAAATGAATGCATCTAATGTAGGTCCCTAACATCTCTAGCTAGCTAGTAAACTAAAAGCTACACTGTAAATTGTGTTCTTGTATTTCCTTAACGTTGTGACAGAACCAGAAGCTTATCACAACTCTAACTAACAGTCATGGTGATGATAGAACTGGACACAGAGACTTCACCAAGCAATTCACTTTACCTTGCAAGTCCCACGGCTCCATCTTGTTCAAATCCACTTCCCTAATCACTTCCAAATCGAACTTCTGAAAAGAAATCTTCTTCTTCAGATAATAGTGAAGTAGCTCTTCATCTGTCGGATGGAACCGGAACCCCGGCGGCACCCCACCGTTCGACGACGACATCTTTTCCGGTGAGGTTTCTCCCCTAAGCAAAAGCAGGCAGCTACAAGTACAAAGCCGTAATCTTTCCTTTCTTCTTTGTGAACTAGCTCAACCTTTAAGGCTCTAACAACCATTTCTACGTGGGGGGTGTAACAAACTTTATATATCTCATGGGTGTCAACAAAGTATGTGATGTCAAAAAGTTGACGCCGGTGACGACGCCGGCGGGTCAGGCTTAAACTCTTAAAGATATCGTAGAAAGCAAGTCAAAGGAATGAGACTAAGAAGAGAATTTTGTAATTTTTTACTTAATTTCTCAAATATTTTAAGCAATAAACGATCCCGAGAAAATAAAAATTAATATAATTATAGGGTATTAGATTGTTCCCAAAGCAAGACTTAGGAAACAGCTGCGAACCCTTATGGGGATTTTCGCTTCTGTTTGGACGGTTGAAATTATTTCAATAAATTAGCATTATTTATTTATCTTAAAATAAATTTTGTAATAACAGTAACAGTTGGAGACGCAGCCGCCATAGGTTGAGCTTGGGGCATGTGGGGACGACTTTGTGAGGGTCTCAGATTAATTTACTTGATTGAGTTACACGCTTTCCAGATTAATTTCTTTCACTATTTTCATTTACCTTTTGTTGGGTCGGTTGTATTATGCTTGGTTGATGCATGGAGAGGAGAAGATCAAACGGTTGTGTTGGATTGATCTGTGGCACTTGGTGGGACATAAGGGAATGGTGGGCCCCACATTTTCCACGTGTAAGTCAATGCACCCCAGGTTGCATGAACGTAGACAGTAAGGGTTTTTTGACCAAGCTGCAGGTTAACTCTTTTTTTATTTTCTTTTTGGAATAATAATTGATTAACCTTAGTCAAGTGGCTCCCAACGCACCCTAGGGATATATTGAAATTTGAACAGCTGGGGGGTTTTAAATCAGGGTTCTCTCAGTCTGTTTACCTTTCTATTAATTGCCACGTGTCAAAAGGACCATTGAATTGAATTGAAGGGGTCCAATGCTCGGAGCTGGATCCTAAAAAACTCAAAAACCATCTTCTACACCACTCTCTCCCAAAGTTTTCTCTCTATCACAGCTGGTTGTGAACAACATATTATCTGCCATTGACGAGTATTGAGAATTTCAAAGTTTGTTGGGTAAAAAAAAATGAGGGAATAACATAAACTTCTGTTTCTCACTCCTGAAATTTCAAACATGTTCTTACACTACCCAATCTAATCTCATTTTTGTTGCAATATAGCTTATTGGGTATGGAAGAAAACTGTTGCTATTTGAATTTCGTATCTACTTTGGTTTTCTTTAATTTCCTTTAAAAGTTTTTTTTTTTAAGGAAAAGGTTAAAATGAATTGGTTAACAAGAAAGCTAAATTGGTAAATAGATTTTCATTTATTTTGTGTTAAATGAAATCACTTTTGAACTTTTCTGATTTCTCATGCATTCTCTATCCCAAGTGTTCTATGTAATATAGATGAGCACTGTTCAGATACCATCATGAAAGTCAGTTTTTCTAGGTTAACCAAGGAAAGCCATCACAAGCCACAGAGAAAGAGAGAAGGTAATGGTGCAGTTGGCAGCCATGGTAGAGAAAAATGAAAAATAGAGGGAAGAAAGGTTTTGTTTGAGTCAAGGTTTTTAAAATCAGACCGGATAGAGAACCATTCTAGTGTCTGGGTCGACGATTTGATGGTTCGACCACCCAGGTCAATGATTTATTGATCAAATTAACATTTTTTTTTGCCAAAAAACAGTTTGGGGGGTAAAATAGAAGAGTCAATCAAGTGATCAGTTCTCGATTTTTCCAATCCAACCGTTCAGTCCAATCTGGTTTTGAAAACATTGAGTTGAGTGCAGGAAAGGGGGAGAGGGAGAGACTGGAAAAGTTTTTGATGTGTATTCTCCCTCGATAGCCTTGTATGTTTTTTTTTCTTTTCTTTTAATTCATTTACTAATTAGACACTTCTATTGTTTAATATATTTACTAAAACCTACAGTATAATGTAGGTATTACTAATATATAGGGTTGAGTGCAGGAAAACGGTTGTAGTTTGCAACCGTTTTACTTGATTGACTCTCTTATTTGTATTTGGGAAAACCTATGATATGGGAAAGACATGATACCCAAGAGATTTGATCAATCAAATCATCCCATGAATTTGATGAATACCACCTAATTGGTCATCTCTTTTATGATATCGAATGATTGACTATAAATTTTTCTAATATCATACTTTTCGATCGAACCCTTTTGTATTTTTTGTTTAAAAATGATTAATTTAAAAATATCCCTAATAGTTTTCAACTTCTCATATCAATTTTCTAATAGTTCTCTATGGTAAGAATGTCAATGGACTGGTTTTAGACTGCATCCCGTTCAGTCTAAAATCAATTTAGATGGATTGGATGGACCAACAAGATACATTAGATTGGATTAATTCAGTCCAAAATATTTATTAAATTGGATTGGACCTAATCCATCCGTAATAAATTTATATTGGATTAGGTTGGATTAAACCAATATCCGGTCCATTGATATAAGATAAGAATATAGGTACCAATGTATCGGTTTGGATTGAAATCAATCTAAATTAAAACAAATTTGAATAGATTAGACGATCCAAACATTAAATTGGACCAATCCAAAATGGTTTAAAATATTTATTGGATTGAACCTGACCTATTTATAATGAACTCACATTGGACTGGATCGGATTGGACAAAATGCAGTCCAATTGACACCTCTACTCTATGGGCAAAAACCAACATTTTTTTTTTGTTTACTTTTGATTAATATGGCCAAACATACAAGCGAGAGATAGAGAGATTTAAGTATAGAGAAGGGAAGAAAATAGAATATAGGAAGTGTGTAGGAGAGAGGTTGAAGTGTGTGATATAACAAGTGTTTATCCCTGAAGGGGAGGATATCAAAGAAATAGAATATAGGAAGGACAGACGATCCCACTCTCCAATGCTTTCACCAAAGAGATTGCGTAGACCAAGAATCAACATGACCACTTATGTTATTTTGGGTGAAAAAGCGAAAGCAGTGTTGTTAATAGATATTAAAGAGGGATGAATATATTGGGGCACAAATATATATATATATATATATATATATATATATATATATANTCTTATATATATATATATATATCTTTACGTACTTTTGTGCTATTAATTAGTGATAGTTCTGCCCCCCAAAACACCAACTCTTTTCATATTTTGTATATATTTCGATCCTAAAAAGTATTTTATTAAAGCCACCTTGAAAAAATTTATTAGACTAGCACATAATCCATGGCTAGAAGGTCCAATCCGATCCCATTAGCTGGACTTGGATTTAAAAAAAAAATCCTTATTTGTTATACCGTTTGTTCAAATCCGGATCCTCCCGGATATGATTCAATGAAGATCTGATATGGTTATGTTAGTACATTTATCTCTAAAATAAATAATTATCAAGGTAGAAAGATACTTTATCAGTTAATAAGGAGGATTAGTTATAATTAATTCTTGCAACATTTGGTTTTATAAAATTTAATTTTTTCAATAAATTGCACATGGTTTTAAAAAACGATTCAGAAATGGAATCATTCTGGCCATCGGTTTCTAGGTCGATGGTTCGATCATCCGGTTCGAACGGATAGTTCATTCTAACAACAAAAATTAAAAAAATAAAAATAATTAAAAATCAAAAATGATCAAAAACCGTTAAACGGATCGACCGCCTGGATCAATGGGTCATTGACCGATTTAACAATTTTTGGCCTGGGACTGGGTTTGGGGTAAAATGAAATCGGTTGCATGAACGGTTCCCAAGCCAAACAGTCCTACCGTCCAGATTAACGACGGTTTAAAATCCATGAAATTGCATATATCAATTTTTGGTACAAATGTATTAGACCAACATAATACTTAAAAAAAAAACATACATAGGTTAACCTACCATAGATGTTCATATCAACTTTATGTAGTGCATTAATCTAAGGGAATTAAAATTATCTAGAATCTCCGCATTACCCCTATAAAAGATGTTCATAAAATGGAAAAATGACAAATGCAAAACTATTAATGCCATCATGAGAAGTGTCAAGGTTTTTAAAATCAGACCAGACAAGGAACCGTTTTGGTTTCGGTTTCGGGTCAAACATTCCAATCATTCGGTTTGAATAGATGGCCTGTTTTGATAAAAAATTAAAAAAATAAAAATGATTAAAAGCCATTATCCAGGTCGATGGTTCAACAATTTGACCGCCTAGGTCAGTGGTTCACTAACAAAATCAACGGTTTTTAACTAAAAAGTAGTTTTAGGGTGAAACGTAACTGATTCCCAATTTTTTTGGTCCGACCATCCGGTCTCATCTGGTTTTGAAAACAGTGAGAAATGTATCATTCTTACAAGCAGATTTTAATTACCCAAAACTACCTCAGCTGTAATGGCTGTTCTGCAAATGAATGAGACACCAACAACTTCTATGTATGAGATACATGTTAGGTTTTGATGTATTACATGGGTGATCCTAATAGTTCCGAATTTGACCATGAAATGGTATAATAATAAATGAAGTTAAGTGCTTCTTAGTGGTTGATTCGAGTTGAGCCAAGCCGAATATTTGGCTATTCGAGTTTAATTCAATAGAATAGTATCAGGCTCGAGCTCAACTATAAGCCAAGTTTTTTTTTTTTGAAAAATAAAAATTATATGCATAATTTTTTTTTTTGAAAAATAAAAATTATATGCATAATTTTTTTTAGACAAAAAATTAAGAATTATAAAAATTATTTAATATTATATATACAAAAAATAATTATAAAACTATTTACTATTATACATGAAAAATAAAAATATTATTATATATAATAAAATTATTTATTTAATATTAGGCTCGTGAGCCTCATGAACCAACTTTCATTGGGCTCAAGCTCGACTCAATTAGCAAACGAGCATATATATCAGGCTCAAATTTGGCTCGAAGCTCGGTTTAAACTGAGCCAAGCTCAAATAGCTTGTGAAAGGCTCAACTTGTGAATATCATTCTAATAATTGATACCATTTTTTACTATTTCTTATTTTCTTTTTTGTTT